CTACAGATGGAAAATAGCTACATAGCTCAATCTGGTGCAGCTGTGTTCATTAAGACACTGCCCCATCCAAATAAACACAAATACAAATACAACTACTGTTGTGATTTAGGAATATATATAAATAACTCGAATCGAATTGAATCATATTGGATTAGAGTTTTAGCATGTTTTTTGCCAGTTTTTACCCTTGATATGGTGAGGTTGGCCTCTCTACCTCTTGTCAGGACTGATCATCTCTGATCAGTGTTGCTGTGTCTTGGTGGGTTTGCAGTTGTGTCTACAATTATAGCTCTATAAGTTCCCCCACTATGTTCCGTTGAAAGGACTCTGAAACCCAGGCCCAATTGTGTGCCGAAAAAAGGGTCTAGCCTCATAAACTCAATCCCAAAAAATATGGTTTTGAAATGGAGTTATCACCACGGAAATTGATCAGGGCAATGATTTACTATTTATAGTCATAATATGGCAACTTTTGAACAGACAAAAGTCTTCAAAAGTAAACTGTAAGCGATGAATGAATAAAGAGGCTGAACAAGAATTTTGGCCCAAGTTTGGTCTATTGCTGATTAAATCCAAAAGGGAGCAGTAGTGAGACCCAGAGGCGCGAGCTCTCCACGCTCAGATGAAAGGGCGTCTTATCTGATGAAGCTGACTCCAGGCCTCGTTGTATTTTTATGACAAATAATTGAAATGCCATTGATTCGTTTTGGGATCTTACTCGATATTCAACACACTCACATTGTATTTATTACCCGGATGGATTGGGCATTCTTCAGTTCAAAACATATATTTAATTTTGATTAGTTAACTACAACTCTCCTCGTGTTTCATCATCATGAAGCCCACAAATACCCTTTTTTGTCTCGTTAATTGTGTGGTGTAAATATGTTATTTATTTAGACTGCGGTTTGACCGACTGGATTTTAGAAGGCGGCATCTGACCCAATAAATCTGTATATTTTGTGGCCAATAAACACTTTTCACAGGCATCCATCAGCATTTATAGAGGCCTTTGCTCAAACTTAACCCTAACCCGAGCAATTAGTGCATAAAGCTCGTGCACCTGTCACCAGGACCGGCCTGCGGGTTGGTAGAAATAAGACGACATATGAATTTATAGGCTTCTTTCCATTATCATATGAGAGAAATATTGGAGCAAATATTTTGACTCTGAACTAAAAGAACTTGAGGTACTTCCCTTGCATTATGTTAGGCAAGAGTTTAAACATATTGTTTTGGATGACAGACACAATATATAAATGTGAGTTTGGTGGGACCTGCACTGATGCGTTGAAGAGACAGAGGGGGTTGTTAGTTTCCTTTAAACCGGAATTAGCTGTGAAGTGCGATCTTGAGGTGTGAAGAAGGAGTCTCTGGTTTGTTAGGCCTTAGTGAAAAGTGTCTCGTAGACCTTGCTTGCGGAATAAATAGACCTATTTCCTCGATCACAACATGTGACAAAGTATGAATGAATGTAATGATAGCTTATATTATACATTTTCAAATTTTTGCTAATCATTATCAAATCAGAAAATGTAGAGATTACTTAACAACGTATATGGCGTGTGCGTAATTACGCACCAAACTTGTGAATCGTTCCCTTGGACTACATTTATCCATTAGATTGAATGTATTGGGCCTGTCCTCAGCTGGACAGGCCTTGATAGGCCATTGGCCATCTGAGGAGTGATGATGCTGTGGGGACATCTGCGTCGCGCACGGCTCGCGCATTTGGATGTAAATGTGGCCCATGAGGAGGAGGGCTGACGTCAGGAGGACCTCGGCTATACCTCTTGCATCTTGTCAACACACGCACATGATTAGAGACTGTATCACGAGAGGAGCTACGTCGCGATTGTGGCTGACGGGTCGCTTTGGACTATATCTGTACTTTTTTTTTCCTTTTTACCAATAGGGATTGTGCTGTGACGCAACAAATATGTTGCCTTAAAACCCTTTTGCTATTTTTTCTGTGGGATTTTTGAAAATTGATTGTGCTATTATTAGGTTTTTTAACAAATCATGTATGTGGGATATCTACTGGATAAAGAGACCGGCATGTACCACCAAGGACCCGTCAGAAGATCCGGAATCAACTTGCCTCCACAGAACTTTGTTTCCTCGCCACAGTACCCTGATTTTAGCGGATACCATCACATGCCAAACATGGAGACACATGCACAGTCTGCAGGCAGCTGGGGGCCCACGTATGGCGCTCCACGGGAGGAGTGGGGCGCATACAGCCTGGGACCTCCAAACAGCATCCCTGCGCCCATGAACAACTCGTCTCCAGGACAAGTGTCTTACTGCTCACCCGAGTACAGTCATATGCATCCACCTAGTTCAGCTGTGCTTCAGCCACCGCCTGAAAACGTGAGCGCGTCTCAAATGTCTCCAGATAGAGAAAGGCGCAACTCCTTTCAATGGATGAGCAAAACAGCGCAATCCTCTTCAACAGGTGAGCGTCAAAGGAGCCAAATACGCGACAGGTTCATGTTGATAGTGATGCAAACTCATGTGGGGCAGATGTTTATTTTACATTGTCTGAAAAAATGACAGCATGCCTGCTTTCGGTGGGAATCAGTCAGAAAGGTGTAAGGAAGCGGCGCCAGGCCCCTTGTGATGGTAATGCAATGAGTGTTGGAGATGCGAGCCTGACTTCCCCGTCACATTGTTGCGCTCCGTCATATCCAGACGATGGGCTCTGTTTTTCAACACCTCCTCACTTTGATATGCACCCTTCCTCTGTTTTATTACCGGACAAAGTGCCACTCTTCACAGCTTGTGTTAAGCCTTCACAGTGACAACATGTCAGATCAAATCACCTAACTTTCAGAATGATTGGACAAACAATTTCATATGTATGCATGGAATGATTCTGTTTGACCCACTGCTATCATTTATTACGGCCTATTAAACATGCTATTGATGTATTTTCCAAAGCCTAACCGGGCGGCATTTTCGATGTTTATTTTAATACGTTTTGAAACTAGGCCTAAAAACCTATTTTGGAGGTGATTTTTGCATTTATTGGCTGATGTTTTTTGCTAAACGTTGTAGCCCATATGATCTCTTTGAAATCCAAAGCGTTCATTAGTCACCAAAGCAAAGATCAGAGGCTCAATTTGCGTATGTAGAGAGAGGAGATCCTAAGCATTGATAGATCGGTCTGGGCATGTGGAATCCTGTAAGAAACTCGTTGAACAACTCAAATGTGGGGTAAAAATGATTAACATCTTGTTTATTGCCCTTTCATAGGCAAAACCAGAACGAAGGAGAAATACAGGGTTGTGTACACGGACCACCAGAGATTGGAGCTGGAAAAAGAGTTTCATTTCAACCGATACATCACCATCAGAAGGAAGTCTGAACTCGCGGTCAACCTGGGCCTCTCTGAAAGACAGGTATATTCGACAGTGTCTTTGCTTTATCAGACTAAGCGTTATAAATATGGGCCTGCATTGATAGACTGTAGGTCGCATTGCCTATCTGTCACTGAGATTATACATGTCACATTTTTATCATCGGTATTTTGTTCGGGTATTCATCTAATTTATTTTTCTGTTTTATTAGCCAACTAATAATTTGTGTTTATTTATTCCAGGTCAAAATCTGGTTTCAGAATCGCAGGGCCAAAGAGAGGAAACTGATGAAGAAGAAATTGGGTCAGTCTGACGGCAGCAGCGGCTCTGTGCACAGTGACCCCGGGTCTGTGAGTCCGCTCCCGGTGCCCAGCTCGCTCAGCCCCTCTGACATCCACGGGTCTCTGTACCCTCCGCAGCCAATGAACACCTTGCCCTCTATTAGGAATATACAGCAAGTGACAGTGACGCAGTGACCGGGAGACTCGCGCTCTGGAACTGCAACTTAACCGAGCACTCCGCTGTTGGACACTTTACACATGCAGCTATGACTCTCAGGACTATTTCAAACAAAGCGATGAAACGCTGGAGGCTCTTCAAATATTTTTCATAGAATTGTTTATTAATGTAGGAGAAGACGTCAAAGATAGTAAATAACGTCAATTTTATTAAAATATAAATTTTATTTTTGTGATGGAATGTATGTGATTGTGAATAAAATGTTGATTCAATTGCATTTAAAGGAACTGTATGTAATAGAAACAAAAACAAACATGACCTACTTGTGTCCTGTTCAATGCATGCTCCGTTGTAAGAGCTTTTGTGTTGTTTTTTTTTTTTTTTTGACTTCAGATTCAGATATTGAATATTGGATATGAGGGTAATGTTGGTGGTCTCAATTGGTATCGATGTACGCCTATAGTGAAATCCACCAGTGAATATAGTCACAGCCTAAACCCATGGACATTCATATTGTGCTACTGTGTGAGTCCTTCTGCACATTCACACCAAATGAAAATGTTTTACACAAGCCATGGGCTGTCGGTACAAAACTATTGTATGTTAAAGCACTGTTGAAAATGAGAATGAGATACAGTTCCTTTAAATTCGTCTAAACAGTTTTTTAAAATACGTGTTAAAATGTAAAATCAACTATTTTAGATTTGCCAAATCAAGTCGTTGAGTGTGTTTTGCTAAATATATGGGCTACGCTTTAGTAAAGCTGGCTAAAATGAGCAGTTATGAGGGTACAGGCCTACCTTTTGAGTTTTTTTTGGCATAATGTAATGTTAATAAAATGTTTGTTCAAAAAATGTGAACAGTATTCCAATTTTATATTGCATATTCAATCAATGCATTTCATGGGTTTCAGCCATAGATGTACACCTATTTTATTATCTGTTTAAGTTTACTTTTTCATGCAGAATGTTGATGACATTTCCTCCTTTGTTCTCCCCATCCTGAAACACTGCATGGACAGGCTGGTGAAGGACGCAGGTGTGTCAACCTGCACTGAAATGCGAAAAGTGCGTGTCTATTAAATACCTCTTGATTTTCTTATTTCTTTCACACATGGTCAGTTTCGCTCGTGCCGCTGCGTGCGCGATGATGACGTCGCAGAGTACGTAGGCTGACGTCATGAGCGCCTTGCTGCCCAACATGGCGGACTTTGACACAATTTATGAGTTAGAAGACGAAGAGGAAGAGCACGTAGTGAATGAAGAGCATTTGCCCAGATACTGTCCAGAGCCTGTGGTGATGCGAGGGGCCGGACACATCACTGTGTAAGCAGAGCCGTGTTTGTGGACGTCTGTTTGTCTGTCTGACTCTGCCTTTAGCCGTTAGCTTCGGCTAACCAATGCAAATCACAACAGTCACTACCGTTACACGTTTGTGCTGTAACGGTCTCTTCTGTGGTGACAAGCTTTCACTTGGTGCACCGAGTGTTTTTATAAGATGGAGAAGTTACGCTGACATGTCCTAACATGTAGGTTAACCCTGTCAAATGTAAGAAGTTTAGACAGCTATAGATAGATCAGGTCAGCGGTCTGTGGTCACAGAGGCCCTGTGCCTTTACTACAGACGGATCCATGTTTTTGATTACTTACTGCTCAAGACCTCAGACTGTCCTATGAAATAACATTATACAATCAGTAAATGTCTCATTGCCAATGTTGGAAAACAAATATTGTTTGGCAATAATATGTATTAAAGACTTAAAATGATGTGGATTGAATATTTTTGACATGAGTAATGAAGGTGTTATGAACTGTCCAAAGAGTCCAAAAGCAAAGGGTAATAAACTGGTGAGAGCTCTGGGTCTGTCTGCACCATTGTCCAGGGTTGGAAGGGTCAGCTGTGGCCACTCAGTGATTGAGGATAGACTCAATGATGACCGCATAGAACATCTCCATCATCTGAGCTGGTGTTCTTCAGCTGCTACAGAAAGCACATCCTCTGCTCGCCCTGAACTGATGAGGGAGCAGATGGTCCTGAACACTGGATGATGGTGCCGACAAAGAGCAAAGCGTCCATGTGGTGATCGGGGGTGGTCTGGGATCTTTGTAAAGTCCACCATCGTCTCGGTAGCTGCCACAGCACCTGGACACCAGTTACTTCTGTTCCGTGAGTGAACATTTTCTTGGTTCACGTAATGATATTTGTTCCTAATTGCGTGTGATCACAGGTACAAAGCATTAGGCTGCTCCTGCTAGTCTTGATGGGGTTTCCAACTTTACATTAACATTAACAAATTATACAATAACCTAAAATTAAATATTTGTTTATTTTCAGGTTTGGACTGAGCAACAGATTTGACACAGAGTTTCCTTCTATCCTCACAGGAAAGGTACTGCTCTATGTTATGCATAAAACCCCCTCATTGCACTATACGCACACACCCCACTATCAGAGGTGGCAACAGTTAATCCCTGTTTCCATAAGAAAAGTCATCGGAGCACAATAATTATGTCTCTTTCTCAGTAGTGAGCTATTCCAAAATGTTTCTCTCAGGAATCCAGTGGTTTGTGATTTAGTGGTCCTAAATATTTAATCCATGCCTTTTAAATGATTGTTTTGGAGTTTTCATTTTAAGAATTTCTTTTATGAAAGTGTTATGTAGAATGAGAAATGTGGCAACGTGAGCAGCAACTTAACCCAGGAAGGAATGATGAACAATATCTATAAAATAGATAGTGTTCATCATTCCTTCAATCAGGTTTAATAGATGTTGTAATATTACACACACTTTGGCATGTTTTAAATGAGTACTTTTTAACTTCTGTAGCATGAGAACCTGTGCCCTGAACCATCCTGTTACAGCTTCTTTTGGCTGCGCTGCACGGTTCAGAAAAGATGCTCTGTAAATGAGTAAGCCATCTAACGCCTACAGTGTGTGGGGACACAAGATTTTGGAGGGCTCAACTCCAGGTGATAAAATAATGAAATGGAGACTCGCGGCAGACAAGAAAGAAAAGCTTCCTGGGTCGAACGCTTAAACACAAAAAGGCTGCAGGGGTAAGAGCAGGCCGAGGGAAGTGTAGGGCAATAAAAAGAAGCTCCAGCATTGTGACCAATAGTGACATGTGATGGATGAGCTCACAATTATGATGATTGAAGGGTGCAGATCAGGCCATGCTGGGCTTTATTTTGAGGTTTTGGCTGTTTGCAAAGAGACCTTTGCATCCTGTCATAAAAGATTACGACCCCAGTTTTATGACGTACAGACTGGGCTAGGAATGAGCATCCATTCAAGTTGTTTGGCCTGCACTGCCACAGGCACTGGCCTTATCTCCCCGTAGGGCCTCCTTGCCTTGACCAGTCTGGAGCGTGGTTAGCTTTTGTATTTAAAGATCCCATCTCATCTTGGGACAGTATCTGCAAATATCTGCCTGCTGTGATTTTGAAGCCTTTGATCTTTCAAAATAAGATATTTAAAACATTTAGGAAATGTTCTACTGAATTATAATGCATAATATTGCTGTACTTTTGTGTCCTTAAATAATGTATTCTTAAAATGTTGTTTACTGCATAGGTAGCTCCGGAGGAGTTTAAGACCAGCATTGGCAGAGTGAATGCATGTTTGAAGAAAAACCTGCCTGTCAATGTGAAGTGGCTGCTCTGCGGCTGCTTGTGTTGCTGCTGTACAGTCGGCTGCAGTCTGTGGCCGGTTATTTGTCTCAATAAGAGAGTAAGTCCCGACCTCCTGTGACACACGCCGGACACTTTTACTCTCCCCACACATCACTGCTCATTACTCAAAGGCTATAAGGACAATTCAGGTGGAGTGATCCAGGTGTAATAACATAGGATGTTAGGAACCACAATTAGTGGTTGTGTATAGGAACAATGCAATTACCACATTCATTCCTATCTACTCCAACTGTAGTTTTTTTTAAAAGGGGGTATTAAAGTGAGAAGTCAAGACAACAAAGTGAAAATTACTAGCTGGTAAAATAGGAGTCTAGTCTATAAATCCTAACACAGCTGCAGTTAACTAATACCTGCTATATCATGCCTGTCACTGTCATTACTTTCAATAATGACTTTACAACTTCTGTAAATGTTGCTCTCTTCTTTTGAACAGACCAGACGATCCATTCAGAAATTGTTGGAATGGGAAAATAACAGATTATATCATAAGGTAAGGACACATTAACGCAAGTAGTGCAAGGTAATGAAGCTTTATAAACTCTTTGCACAGATTGGGCTGGCAGTTAAATCTTCTCAATTTTGTTTGGTCTTGTTGCAACAAATTACAGCTAGTAGCCGTGGACAGACATAAAGGAAGCTGTTGAAAGTGTCTGGCCACAGTTTGACCCCTGTGAGACCAGACAGCCAGCCCTGTTACCAAATTCCCCTGACACCAACAAGGAGATCTCGAGACAGATTTTTCTTTGTCTTTGAGAGGTGTTTATTATGTCCATCTCTTTTCTTCTCTCTTCAGTTGGGCCTGCACTGGAAACTCAGCAAAAGAAAATGTGAAGGCAGTAACATGATGGAATATGTAAGTCAGACATGTTTTCTTTCACAGTTTAGTGTAAAATTAACATACTCACTTCAATCTCATCTGAAACGTATAACTTTTTCTGATGTTGTCCTTATGAAGTCACAGGAAATAATGGTGCTTTTGGCAGCACTGTCACGCAGAATAATTTGCATGTAGAAAACATTCATTCAGAGACAACTCTGTAATTGTTTTATACAGGTTTCAGGTGCATTATGTGTGTTTATAGTCATCTAGTGCTAGACAGATGGTTCAACATAAAATAAATGAGAATTGTAGATAAAATACAGTAACTGGCGAGGTTACTGATATATATGCCACAGGCGCAGAACCTTCCTCTTGACTGCTGTCAATGAAGCTCTGGTTGGTTTGCCCTTGAGACTTTGCCACTCCTTATTGGCTGTAGAAAGTGGAATACTCTAGCCTTAAAAGGTGCTGATTTTCATCTCAATCACTTCACACACCGGTGAAAACCGTCCCAGTGCATGTTGGAGGTCCTAGATTGATTAAAGTCAACAAAACATCTTCTCCAAACGGCAGAGATTAAATTGGACACACTGAAGAACATCTAGTTCTAAAAATATATTTCATGATGCCCTAAGTAGCTGGTGTAGGGCGTTGTTGAGCTTAGTCAGATTCTGTCTTACCTGGGAGGTTAAGGTGGTGAGGACACACCCTCTGGTCCCTCAGAATTGACTAATTAATCCTCTATGCAACTCAAGTGTAGGGCAATAAAAAGAAGCTCCAGCATTGTGACCAATAGTGACATGTGATGGATGAGCTCACAATTTTGATGATTGAAGGGTGCAGATCAGGCCATGCTGGGCTTATGGCATGTCTAAAATATGACTCATCAATGTTATGAAGTCCCACATGTTTTTGTTTAACTTGTTTACATTGTGTCATTTTTCACAGGTGATTCTTATAGAATTCTTACCCAAATATCCTATTTTCCGACCTGACTGAGGAGGCCGGAGTGGATGTGGGGCCCTTGAATTTTCTCCTAGTGCCTTGTATATATACAATAATGTATGTTGGAATAAGGGTCTACTCCGCACTAGTGTCCTGAGAGGACCCTGTTACTCTGTGTATTAGGCGCTGTCACTTTGCTTTAGAGCAGAATTTGCACATTTTTCAACAGACTTATTCCTCGTTTCACTCCAATGTCTTTTGTTACTGAGACTGTAGTCCATATCAAAGTGCATTTACCCAAAGCACCATCCTTTTGCCCTGTCTCATCAATCCTAACCCATGCTATGAATGTGATGCTCCATCAATCCTAAAATTAGCCTTACCTTATGTATACTTTGTGTGCAGCATTGTTCCAAGTATGAAAGGGCCAAAATGCCTGCAAAGTACCTAATCAGCTATTTTCTATATATTTGAGTGTACGTGGAAATGAGTTGAAACTTGACATGTAAATACCGTAATGAACTGTATAGTGTTTAACCATTGTTTACATTAAGTTATATGGCTGTTTTTTTTTAGCATTTTCTGACCCATTTCCTTTCTCATAGTTTTGACCTGTAGTTGATATGAACCTGTTTACTATAAGCCATATAATTTGACTGTTGCCAGAGTTGGTGATCAAGACTCAACCCCAGTCTGATGTCAGTTCAGTGAGTTGGCAGATGACAAAAGCACGAAAAGCAATGCATATTTAGTGCCAAGACCCTAAATCCAGATAGATGTGCGGGAATAATTTTAAATTTTGGTTTCTCACTTGCTCCCATGATTTGTATCTCCTCGTCATCTGAGAAGCAGAAGGCCACATGTGTGTAGTTAAGTGAATTTTTAAATTTGTTTAGTGTTTTATAATAATTTCATATATTTTAGATACTGCTGCAATACATTGTGTTGATAGTGCCTCTGGGTTGGAAACTGTAAAGATTGAATTTGTTCTATTGTACAAAGGAGCTGTGACTTTCCTCCATACATTGTCACTGTTACAAATCTGAGATTCATAATGGCTCCTTTTGGGAAAGAAAATACATTTCTTTTTGACTTTTGTTTGTGTCCTGTTTCATTTGTTCTTTAACCATAAAAATGATTTTGAGTAAAACAACCTGAGACCATGTCAAACATACAGCATTACAACATAACTGGGTCCTTGTCTCATGTTTAACTAGGTGAAATAGTTAACTTAAAACAGAATGTCTTGTCAACACACATGTGAAAGTCCAAACCTAGTTTAAACTGGCTGCTTTGTTATCTAGCTGTACATGGCACTAGTGATTTTCCTTAGACCCCCAAAGCAAAGGCAGCTGCTGAGTACAGGTTTTATGGCCCTTTGTGCAGTTGTCACATTGTCCCTTTCAATTGAGGTAACAAAGAAAAAAAAACGTACAAAGATCTCTGGTGTGAGAGAAAAAGATATTTCATTCAGATACAGATCTGAACATTTCAATGAACCATTTGTCCACTAGAGGTCATGTGTGCCTTGAGCATGTACAGAATATTAGACGATCTTTGGACTCTTCAGGAAAGGCCTACAGACTACACTCCTTCATATAAGCGTGTATGTATCAGATTCATCCATCCATCCATTTTCTACCCTTTAATCCATTTCTGGGTCAGGGGGGTGGCAGTCAGAGATGCCACCCAAGTCTCATAGCACCAGCCTGAGACTCAGATTCAGTCACATTCAAATCCCATTTGACAGGACAAGACTCATTTCACTAGAACACATTTAGATATTGAAATTTTGGTAACAGTACCTCCTGTTTATACATTTGCTGCAGTTATGGTATATGTGCATGTGGTTACAATAGCAATCACAAAAATACAAGAGGCATTATTTCTATCATTTACACAATTATGAACTGGTATTTCGGAACGGCTCCAGTTATATCTTGTTTAATCTATCGGATTGTGGCATTACTTTTGCGCCAATTATCAAATACAATTTTAGAAATCTGCATTATTTCCAATATAATTTTAAACGCTTAACAACACTTTGAAAGGACTGAAAATAAATACAGGTTCATCCCAGCAAACGAAGTCTTAGCCAAAGAAAAATACTTGACATTTTATTTCTTAAATGAAATTCATCTAGTAGACTGAAAAACAGCATATAGTTTGTTGGTAAGTAAAAGAGTAAAAGCTTTACAAAATAAAGAAAGCATCGTATCAGGAGACAGATTTTTGGTCATTCAGGGCTTATATGCAGCATTAAAAGGCACTTGCTGATGTAAGAAAAAAAATATATATATAATTTTTATATAAACAACCAAACATATTGCACTCGCTTTGTGCCTTTGGTATGCTGGTAAAGTAATACATTTCTTCAATACTTACACCCAAATATCTAAAAGCAAACAAATGTATTCACTAAACATTTACATGTGGAATATATTCATTAAAACTTACCAATCAACTATGAGACTATTCTATGATGGGATCAGAGACATAAATGTAACTGTACAAATACTCCTTTACTAATCATTTGAGGCCCTTTGACACTACATTATTGAAAGGACTCCCACTCAGAGCAGGCTCCCCGGCCACGACACCACTGTCAGTGTGACTTTATTCTTCTGCAGTTTCAGCATAGGGATGAGAGAGCTGTTGTTCATTCCCACTGTGGTCGCTCCATTCACAGCCACGATTTCATCGCCGCACCTGAGGACAAGAGGAAAGTGAAGTCACAGCTGAACCAGGTATACACGTCACATTGTGTCATATTGTGTCACATTGAGAGCACTGCAGGCTTACTTCAGACGGCCATCGAAGTGAGCAGGCGTTCCAGGCACAATGGTTTTAATGTAGAATGGCTGCTGGCCGTGACTTTCTTCATAGCCTCCGACTATACTGAAGCCCCAGCTCTCGTTGTTGGTCTTGTGTAGGAAAATGTCTCGGCACCAGTGCATGTGACTGATTAAGAAAGAACAAGACATTTACAGTCTAATCCTCTGAAATCCCAGCATGAGACATGAACAATAACATACCTTGGTAAGCCTAACCAGCGAGTCCATAGTGGGGTCCAGTTAAGGGCGTCTTCTCGCGAGTCGTCTAGGTTCCGTTCGTCTTTACTGCAGGTGTCCGGCTCCTCTTCAATGTCTTCAGAGAGAGTCTGAATGACCCTTAGAACCACCTGGGACTGGGCTGTCTGAGCCTTCAGCACAGACACCGCTTCTTTGTACGTCAGTTGTGTCAAGTCCGCTCCATTAATACTGAGCAGGACATCACCTAAAAAACAGTTCTGTCATGAATGGCTGTGTGATGCAGTGTCAGGTGAACTCTTGTTACTGCACCTCTTTTGATGGTGCCCTCTCGGTGTAGGCAGCCAACGGGCTGTACACTGGTGATGTAGACAGGCAGACGGCTACGGCAGTCTCTGCCTCCAGCAATAGTGATTCCCAGAGAAAGTCGAGGCTCTTTCTTCATGCTAACGGTTTTCTCCTGGCTAGAAAACCCACCTGGAGGGTCCTAAATGAAAATAATTGGTGGTGACAAATGAGGGAAAACAAAGAATTTGAAGCAAAACTTGTTATTGTCTTAACAGTTTGGACTTTTTACAAATTGGTCGAGTTCTTTGTACAGAAATTAAACTGCCTATAGATTAGGATATCAATAATTATTTTGTTAATGCTACAAAAGTATTATGTAACAAACAAAACACATCATCATTTATTTAAATTGTTGTGCGTTTGTTTATTTGCCTAGATCATGTCGAACAAGGATTATTTTGCATATCTCCTTGTGGAAACAAATGTGAATCATTTTAGGTATGGCTGAGAGTCTAAGTTAATGTGTGAACCTAGACACTGATCTCTTGTAACTGGAGCGTGTTGAAAATTACAGCTTTAGTTGAGCTTCTTGTGCCAAGTTAGTTTCTGAAGGGGAAGCGGGGGGAGGAGATGCTCTTCCTCCCCCCAGCAGGAAACCAACCCCCCCCCCAACCAACAAGACGCAAAGACTCAACTCGGCAGGCGAAAGCTAACTGTTACCAGCTTTGATCCTGTTCCATCCAAAGAAACAAGAAAAAACAACAAGACAGTGGTCTGTAGCAGCAGAGTGAGCAGCGCCCCAGGCCTTTTGATCAGGACAGGCCTTACAGGGGGCAGGTGTCTTTAGACACCCACCCCCCACTGAGGCCACACATACTCTACTGTAAGTAGTGCAGGATGCTGGTGCCAAAAAGCAGTAATAGTGGTGCTCAGTCTGGTCAGCACAACACCCATCTCCTGTTTGTGTCTACAGTCTAATAATGGTTGTACAGGAAGACAGCAGTCCATTTGGGCCTTCAGATGCATGTTTGGGCTGCAAATATGTGATAGATGGCTCACAAAACAATATGGCAATCCTTATGCATTTTTTTATATATATATTTTTTAAACCATTTATATTAAGGAGGTTTTTACTAATAAACTATTACTTGAGCAAAGACGAATTTGTATATTATTTTTCTGTATTGAGGCAGTTGAGCTTGGATTGAAACAGAAATGGAAAAGGCATCGACAACTCATTTACAGATTTTCATATGTAATGTATTGTTATTAATAAATGATGAGGCTGTGGCAGCTCATCCTAAATTACAAGACTTTATTGGTTTTGACTCCCATTCTTTTAAATAGGTGCTAAGATATAAACATATTGATACTCTGAGTTAGCATATAAATAAATTAATTGTGAGACAAAATATCAAAAATCTCAATCCATATCAACTTTTTCATGCTCCAGGTCGAGGAAATGGGTTTTAACTGTTCATTTTAATAATATAAAATACTTCAAGCATTTAATCTTTCTTTTGCATGATTGTTTTTCCTAAAATTGGGCTCTCCATTCCCCATCTGCCGTCAAATCTGTTTTGCAATAAACATTAGAGATAAGATATTGAACATTTACTCACCTTCATGTATGTGGACCGGCGTCTGAAGTACTGGGGGTCTGGGGTTCTTCGGGAAGCTCTGGCAGACAGGCCCTCTCTGCTCCCACCCTCGTCGGGATTATCTTCTGATCTCATCACCACAAAGTTCACACGCACCTCACTGGCCTAGGTGCAAAAAATTGTTGAATTATTTTGCAAAACATCATTATCAATCAACGAGCCAGCATTTATAAATGTCATTGTTTATAAAATGTTGAAAGTTGAAATGCACAATTATCTTTTAACACAGGGTGATGAGGCTTCAATGCTCAGAAAATCTCAGTTTTACTCACAACTCCACTCTTGTATTTGTCATTAGTGATAGTCTGTGTCCCTGTGTGTGTGTGTGTGTGTCTGTGTGTGTGTGTGTTTGTAAACGACACGTGTTACCTGAATGGTCTGAGCAGCACTCTCTGGTGTGCCATGCCTTAGGTCTTGTCCATTAATGGCCAACACTTTGTCATTATTTCTCAGTTTCCCGTCTTTCGCCGCCAGACCTCCAGAGAGCAAGTCCAGGATGAAGACGCCGCTCTCGTCGGACTTCCGAATGAGTTTGATGCCCAGCGGCTCAGAGCGGTGGCTTTTCATCAGTGTGACCTGCAGCACGGTGCCTGGGCTGGGCTGAGCAGGATGGGAGAAGGCGAGGGGGCTGGTGTGCGGCTCAGACCTGGGATCCCTTATTTTAAAACCTTTCTCTTGCATCACAGTGAGTCTGAGCAACGAGGGCTGTCGCAGCAAAGCGATGGCCCGCGAATGAGGCACAGAGGCCATACTCATGTCATTTATCTGGGGGATTCAAACCAATTAACAATTTAGGACAGTTCACATGCGACAATCCAATAGCACATCACATTTAAACACATTCAAATATCTGTTGTATGGAGGAGCACTTTGAGGATGTTTCTGTCAAAACTCTTTGAATCACACAACAATTCTAGTAACAAAAATAAAAAAGACATACATTTTGAAATACAGTATTGGGAGGGAAGTTTAGAGCAGACGCAGTCTAGAGCGTGCGCAGTCAGAGCGGGCACAGTCAGAGCGGGCACACATTCAACAGATGCAGACATTTTAGAGATCTACATTCCAAGAGAGCCGTAGAGAAGATTCTCATAACAATAAACATTTTGCATCACTCCTGGCACTGTGTTTTTAACTGCTGTTAATCTATGGAACAGTCATCCAGGTGCTTAGTTATTTCACCATAAATTAGGACAAGATTAACAAATAGAAATCAAAAGGTTGGTTTGACAAAAACTTGTCACTTGGCTGTGTATTTGTAACCATGGAGATGAAACGCGTTTTTCCAGTTTAGTCACTTTCGTGTCTTTGCAGCAAATCCCTGTTTTTAGTGACAAGAGTGCATGTGTGCCCTGCTTATATAAAAACAGCTGAAACGACTTGCGTCTTTACCTCCAGTATGTGATCCCCTGGAGCCAGTCTGCCATCACGAGCAGCAATAGAATCTCGAATTATCTCCTGGATCACAATGTTGCCCAGTGGAGTGTCTTTTCCGCCAACAATACGAAGCCCCAGCACCTCGTCTGGCTCCTCTCTGAGGAGTTCCACAACATTGGCCTCTGCCACCAAGCTGGATCGGAGAGGAGTGTTGTCTGGAATAAAAACAGGACAGCTACATAGTGTTGCGCCCCATATACCATTTCAGAATTCACATCATAAAATATAAGGTTTTTCTTTTTATATTCAAACCTAAATTACCTGGATAACATAAACACAATTTGAAATGCAGAATGTAATTGCTGTGCAGACAATCTTTGGGAGCCACCTGATATTTAATTAATTTCTTGCCAAACCTTGTACAAAATATCCTGTGATAAAAGCTGGGATTTTATTATGTAGGGGTCAATTTCTCAAATTAATTTGTGAATTACAATCATTACCATCGTCACATTCTTCATAAGCAGGATTAATAAGACCTGGGTCTGGCTGATCTCGACTTGACGTCTGTGGTAAAGCAGTCTGTTTAGCGTCACCAGAAGAGTCTCCATCCCCCTTTCGCCCCTTTAACTCATTCCACGACGGCCTCTTCCTTTTCTCAGCTTCTTCACGTAATCTTTGAAAAACAGGACACCTACAAGGAAAGAACCACCCCAAAACATTACAGTGACCACAAATACATAATATTACTATCTTTGGAATATAAATAGTATTAATTATACTATATAGTAATAAATTAATAATATTAATGATTCCAAATATAGGATTTTTATTTTTATTTTGCACAGAAATGTTGTAATTGCTAAACTTACAGTAGGTTTCATAGAAACCTACAGTTTGTATGGGGTCAGATTTGATGTCATGAAGCCTGAAGGAAAGTAGAGACTACTGTTGTTTCCTGAAGCCTAAACTTTGCTCCCTGTTGTGTGTAAAGTGACATCAGCCCACCACTGACTTCATTCCTGGTAACAGAGCTGATAAGCACAGCACTATAACAAACATGCTCCTCACCGCAGTAAGTTGTTTTGCTTTTAAAACAGGGCTGAAGTAAAAGTGCAGTATAAGCATAAAACAGTTATTGGCGGCAGTGTCCTCCTAAACCAGTAGCGTCACCAGTGTGAGAGTGGTCACCAGTGTGAGAGTGGTCACCTGTGTGAGAGTGGTCACCTGTGTGAGAGTAGTTATTGTTGCATAATATACAATACTATAATCACCATTTATTGTCAGTGATTTTATGTACTAACAATTACGTTGTTTGATATGTTTTTGTGCTGGACACAGACATGGGGACCGTCTGTCACAAGACAGAAACTAAAATGTCAAGAGTTTAAATTGATGACAGTAGACAAAATAGGGAACATATACTTCCTGTTTCTCCAAAGTGTTTTTCAGAAAAGTGATGATTTGGCGAAAAAGACAGACCTGTTTTTGACAATATCATCTGTGTGAGAGTGGTCACCTGTGTGAGAGTGGTCACCTGTGTGAGAGTGGTCACCTGTGTGAGAGTGGTCACCTTTAAGGCTGCGGTCGCAAGCACAACCTAAAGCCTGGTTAAAGTGGGCTAAGGCCCCTATCGCAATTAGATCAAGGCTTTAAGTGCAATGTGCCCGCGGTAACTGGGCTTGGGCACGGTTGGGCGAGGTAGGCCTGAGCACGGTTGCAAAGCCCAGATGTGGGGGGGTACATGTGGCGGGGAGTGGGGGATGAGGTGTGGTGGGGTCGTGATATTGTGCTTCACATTAAGTCTTCCTAATGCGCTCGTGACGTACATTTTCATACACGTCTCTACCTCGCAGTCGCATACTTTTGCATTCTCCCTTGCTTGTGTTACACCTTTCATGTGAGCCCCCGGATCATGGTAAAGGGGCGAAGGGATGCGTTTTCCTGCAGGGAAGTTCATTTGTGATAATCTATGTGACCGTAACCTAAGAGTGGCCATCTGTGTGAGAGGGGTAACCTGTGTGAGAGGGGTCACCTGTGTGAGAGGGGTCACCTGTGTGAGAGGGGTCACCTGTGTGAGAGGGGTCACCTGTGTGAGAGGGGTCACCTGTGTGAGAGGGGTCACCTGTGTGAGAGGGGTCACCTGTGTGAGAGTGGTCATCTGTGTGAGAGTGGTCATCTGTGTGAGAGTGGTCATCTGTGTGAGAGTGGTCACCTGTGTGAGAGTGGTCATCTGTGTGAGAGTGGTCACCTGTGTGAGAGTGGTCACCTGTGTGAGAGGGGTCATCTGTAAGAGTGGTTGTACTGGGCTGTGGTTGTAGAGTGAGTGGTGGTACCTGTTGTGGAGATGGGGCTGCAGCTCACAGCGCTGCATCAGTGCCTCACACTCTGCGTAGTGTGGACAGGCCACAGACAGCTTGTCCAGCAGGTTCCTCACCAAAAGACTAGAGGGGCGACACTGCTGCAGCTGCAACCGCTGACGGTCCACAGGGCAGAAGTCCTGCTCCTTCAGAAAGTTACTGAGGCAGTGGAAGCAGTATGTGTGTCCACAGGGGGTGTCCATGGGCTGCAGGAGAGGCTGGAGGCAGATGTGACACACCAGCTCGTCGTCCACCTCCTCCTGGTACTCGTACAGATGGCTGTCCTGGCAGTCATGCTGCTGGCCGCACTCTTTACACACACGAGCCCATGACAGACCGCTGCTGCAGTCTGCTGCTTTGTTCTCAGCTGTAGACATTGTTTTTTTCTGACCAAATAACTAAAGCTTGTGGGTAAAGCTCACAATCTCTGCACTCTGTGCAACATGTGGGTAAAAACTGAAAAGTCCATGTTTGTCCGTAACATTATCTTCAGCTTTCCGTTCAGCTTTTATCTGTTGAGAAAAAAAAAACAGCATTAGGTGAATGGCAACGTCGAACTCTTCTTTCTGAGAAGCTTCACAGGAAATGACAACTCCACACAGCAGCAGCAATATAGCAGCCAGCCACAGCTGTTTCCTCTCAGCAAGTTTCCTGAGGGACAAAAGGAATTCTGCCTTCAGCAAAACTCCATGGTACGCTTTAATTGAAAAGAACTAAACTGTGAAAACGGCGGACGAGGGAGGCTGCTAATAAAAGATTCAACCTTCCAGTGACGGAGGGAACAAAGCTTGGTATGAGTGGGCAAAGTTGTGATCAGAAATCCAATCCCCATCAGTAATGGTCTGTCCCAGAACCACCGCGCGGCTCCTAATCTCCAGTAATTCCAAGAGTAGTGCTGTTATGAGGGCATTCTTGAGATTACTTTTAGCTGCACATACACATAAATTAAGAAAGATATTTTTTATTTTTATGTTTTTTGCTGAATGTTATACATTTCCCCGCTAATATATACTTTTAATAACGCAGACACAGGCCAACTCCTAAAGTTTATGTGAGTTGTAACAATAGGAGATTTCAGAACAAGACAATAACATCTTTGGGGAACCAACCCAAGATATGATGATATCTTGCACCAAAACACTAGACTATAACCTCACGGCTATGTTGGCCGCCTGACATGAAATCAGAGCTGCTCAGCGCCACAATAGTGTGTGTATGTGTGTGTAGATATTGTGCGCGCACAGTTCTGTGTGTGTGTGTGTGCGCGTGTGTGAGAGAGAGAGATCTTTTCCCTGTCAACTGTAGAAAAGTCAAGAGCCAAGTAGTTATGACAATGTAGAAGTACTCAAATCCAAGAAGTAATGAGGCTTTTGTTTTGATTTAGAAGGCTGGTGGAGGCAGCCAGCCACATATGAAACAAACTGTGAGGTCATCTGGGTCTCTTCTCGCTTTCGCTCTGCCATTTACTTTGTAAAATGGAGACCTATTCTTGTAATGGATAGGGCTCAGAGATCCCGACTGTCACAGAGACATGGTGGCAGACCAACACACACAGAAACGTATCAATTACTAGAGACACTTTTAAAACATCCAAGAACATTTTCTAAAATACAACAGGACAGCCAAAATCCTGATTCCTGTTAACCCATAAAAATGTATATAAATTGACCTTCATTAAAAGCGTTCTCAGTCCAACTCATTCTTCTCAGACAATATCAGACACAGATTTAGCATGTTATGCGCTGAAGGCTATGCACAAGGCTCCAGAGAAACGTTCTCTGGTCCTCAGGATTACGTACAAACAGAGGCTCAGCTAAGTTGCTCCTCTGATGTCTCATGAGTGAGTCACGTGGAACACACACCCTCAGCCAACACAGGTGAGGCGGTCATAATAACACACAACTACGTCAACAGAATGAACACAACATTCAGAGTAATTGTTAACATTCTACTCGGCTTCAACATATAGGTTTTATTTGTCAGTTGTGTAATTACCAGCAACAAGATGTAAAGTCAATATTTGTATTCAGACGTAACTGCCAAGGCCACATGTACACATCTCATGGTACCTTCTTGGTTTTCAATATTTAGAGAAAAGGGGTTAAATGTCCTGCCTGTTTGTTGGCCTTTCAAAATCTTGAGTTTCTCGAGGCCGACTCACACTTAAAACAGTGTTTGCAACATAAATAGATACAATAAAAGAAAGATGAAATCTTAACGAAATCTGCATTCATAAATGAAAGCAATAGACTGGTTATTGAAAATAATCCAAATATAAATTCAAGAATAAACACATTGTATTTTATTCAATGAGCCTTCCCTATACTCAAACAAATACAGTTTATACTGTTTAGTGGCTGATGAAAGACATATGCAAAAAATAACAAAGATCTGGGTGCAATTTCCATAGAAATACTGATACTAAAAAAATCAGAAATATATGTTTCATATAATGATATTTATACAAATCAAAAATCCTTATAAAAAAAATCACCATTTTGACCCAGTGCTTCCATTCTGTAACCATGTAACGGTGACAGAGCAATTCACAACAAATATGAGTCATGACTGTCCAACAGTGTTTGTTTTGTTTATAATTCACTTAAACTCTTACTAATTATATTGCATGTTTCTAGGACAGTAATATAAGGGCATGTGTACGTACGTACATACATACATAAATAACTCGCTGCCTTGTGTCAAGTTGGTTTGTCGATCAGACTGTGCACAGTCCTAAGAGATTCATAGTACAGTCACACTGTACTCTGAGTGCGACTCTGAGTGAAACTCTGGTCTCACTGCAGAGTCTCTGGTCTCACTGCAGAGTCTCTGGTCTCACTGCAGAGTCTCTGGTCTCACTGCAGTCTCTCACTACAGTCTCTCATTACAGTCTATGGTCTCACTACGGTCTAGGGTCTCCCTGCGGTCTATGATGGTCTCACTACAGTCTATGATGGTCTCACTACAGTCTATGATGGTCTCACTACAGTCTATGATGGTCTCACTACAGTCTATGATGGTCTCACTACAGTCTATGATGGTCTCACTACAGTCTATGATGGTCTCACTACAGTCTATGATGGTCTCACACAGTCTATGATGGTCTCACACAGTCTATGATGGTCTCACTACAGTCTATGATGGTCTCACTACAGTCTAGGGTCTCACTACAGTCTAGGGTCTCACTACAGTCTAGGGTCTCACTACAGTCTAGGGTCTCACTACAGTCTAGGGTCTCACTACAGTCTAGGGTCTCACTACAGTCTAGGGTCTCACTACAGTCTAGGGTCTCACTACAGTCTAGGGTCTCACTACAGTCTAGGGTCTCACTACAGTCTAGGGTCTCACTACAGTCTAGGGTCTCACTACAGTCTAGGGTCTCACTACAGTCTAGGGTCTCACTACAGTCTAGGGTCTCCACTACAGTCTAGGGTCTCACTACAGTCTATGGTCTCACTACAGTCTATGGTCTCACTACAGTCTAGGGTCTCACTACAGTCTGGGGTCTCACTACAGTCTAGGGTCTCACTACAGTCTAGGGTCTCACTACAGTCTAGGGTCTCACTACAGTCTAGGGTCTCACTACAGTCTAGGGTCTCACTACAGTCTAGGGTCTCACTACAGTCTAGGGTCTCACTACAGTCTAGGGTCTCACTACAGTCTAGGGTCTCACTACAGTCTATGGTCTCACTACAGTCTATGGTCTCACTACAGTCTATGGTCTCACTACAGTCTATGGTCTCACTACAGTCTATGGTCTCACTACAGGTCTCACTACAGTCTAGGGTCTCACTACAGTCTAGGGTCTCACTACAGTCTAGGGTCTCACTACAGTCTAGGGTCTCACTACAGTCTAGGGTCTCACTACAGTCTAGGGTCTCACTACAGTCTAGGGTCTCACTACAGTCTATGGTCTCACTACAGTCTAGGGTCTCACTACAGTCTAGGGTCTCACTACAGTCTATGGTCTCACTACAGTCTAGGGTCTCACTACAGTCTAGGGTCTCACTACAGTCTAGGGTCTCACTACAGTCTATGGTCTCACTACAGTCTAGGGTCTCACTACAGTCTATGGTCTCACTACAGTCTAGGGTCTCACTACAGTCTAGGGTCTCACTACAGTCTATGGTCTCACTACAGTCTATGGTCTCACTACAGTCTATGGTCTCACTACAGTCTAGGGTCTCACTACAGTCTATGGTCTCACTACAGTCTATGGTCTCACTACAGTCTATGGTCTCACTACAGTCTATGGTCTCACTACAGTCTATGGTCTCACTACAGTCTAGGGTCTCACTACAGTCTATGGTCTCACTACAGTCTAGGGTCTCACTACAGTCTATGGTCTCACTACAGTCTAGGGTCTCACTACAGTCTAGGGTCTCACTACAGTCTAGGGTCTCACTACAGTCTAGGGTCTCACTACAGTCTATGGTCTCACTACAGTCTATGGTCTCACTACAGTCTAGGGTCTCACTACAGTCTATGGTCTCACTACAGTCTATGGTCTCACTACAGTCTATGGTCTCACTACAGTCTAGGGTCTCACTACAGTCTAGGGTCTCACTACAGTCTAGGGTCTCACTACAGTCTAGGGTCTCACTACAGTCTATGGTCTCACTACAGTCTATGGTCTCACTACAGTCTATGGTCTCACTACAGTCTAGGGTCTCACTACAGTCTAGGGTCTCACTACAGTCTATGGTCTCACTACAGTCTAGGGTCTCACTACAGTCTAGGGCAGGGGTGTCAAACTCATTTTGGTCCGGGGGCCACATACAACCTAATCTGATCTCAAGTGGGCCGGACCAGGAGATGCTCTACAAAAATATCCAAAAACGGTACAAAGTCCAACTTTTTGTGCACATAAACACATTTATTTAAAACTTCCTTTAAAACACTATCCTTTAATACTCAGTTTTCTGTTACAAACTTAAATGTAACAGTGAGTTTTCCATAGTGCAAATAATGTAGCGTATTTACAATATTACATTGAAAATGGTATTTCACAATATGTATATTAATATTTGTGTGTTAGCTTTGTTTTAAGGCTCATTACAGAGAAAACCTGCTCACAAAGGTAAAGTAGGTAGATAGAAAAAAGCACTTAAACACAGCACCTCAGCTTAACCATCTTCAGTGTGGTAAGGTCCATGGTTATGTTATTATCACATTAACCATCTTCAGTGTGGTAAGGTCCATGGTTATGTTATTATCACATTAACCATCTTCAGTGTGGTAAGGTCCATGGTTATGTTATTATCACATTAACCATCTTCAGTGTGTAAGGTCCATGGTTATGTTATTATCACATTAACCATCTTCAGTGTGTAAGGTCCATGGTTATGTTATTATCACATTAACCATCTTCAGTGTG